AGTACTACAGACACTTTTTAATTGTTTAAAAAACTACCTAGTTCAGGGTTTTTATGAGGTATCATGCTACTTGTGCTCTGCTAAGACAGCACAGGACACCATACTGTGGACTCAAAACCAAGGGATTTTGTAGATATTAAATGGTCCTTTTATCTGACAGTCCACAAAGTCATTTAATGGAAGTTTAAGAATGATGATGAAGCCTGAAATCCCAGCAGCTCAGGAAACTGAGGCAGGAGGATAGCAAGTTAGAGGTCAGTCGAAGCAACTGAGTGAGGCACTAAGCAACTTAGTAAGACTGTTTTAAAGTTTAAAAAATTTAAAGGGCTGAATTAAGTAGCTTAGTGGCAAAGTGCCTCTGGATTCAATCCCCAGTGCCCACCCTCCAAAAAAATGATGAAAATATTTAATTTTCAGAAATTTTGAACATTAGCCAAAATGTGAGAAGGTCCACAGTTAGAAGTTCAAACACAATTATTCCTTTGTTGTACTTATTATTAATAAGTACAAGCTTGAACATATATAGATACCATTGTTTTCTTATCCCATCAAAAATTGGAAAATGTTTACTCCAGATTTTTGGAAACTAATTTTTCAAGTTAATATATAGCTAATTTTAACACTTTTGGAAACACAATGTGCAAGTAGATCATTTTACATGTATGTGACCTAGTATTTGACTTGAAACTACCACTCCCTCAGCCAGGTGCTTCAGACCTTAAATTTACTTCTTGGATCCCTTTCTCTTCCTATTTAAAGGCAGTGATAACGCAGGAGGATCTAAGTTGCAACAGGAAAGGTAGAGGAATATTCTGCCAATTCTTTACCCTTCCCCATTTCAGTCATTTTCTATTTTTTAATATTTTTTAGTTGTCAATGGATCTTTTATTTATTCATATGAAGTGCTGAAGATTGAACCCAGGGCCTCACACATGCCAGGCAAGCACTCTACCACTGAGTCATAGGCAGCATTGAGTCTTGCTAGCTTCAAAGTGCCATCCTGTTCCAATCCACACATCACTCAGGTTTCTGCAAAAAAACACTGAAGTCTTCATCTCTGTGAAGTTTCTCCATGAAACTGAAGCCAGATTTAAAGATAGGTAGTTAGTGTAGTTAGGTAAATCGGGTCTAATACTGAGTAAGATAAAGAAAATGGAGACCATTATCGAGAGTGGAGTCCAGGAAGCCAGAACAGCACCTGGGGAAATTGAAATATTAATGTCCCCAAGGCCTGGAACCCATCCTAAGGAACTGTTAATAAAGTAGCTCCCAGTAAACAGAGAGGTGCTAATCAAACCACCCTAGGCCCTTCCTGCTCAGATTTCTCCTCCAGTCCACCTATCTCCCACCTGCATTCTAGCACTGCAGGATGGAGGGAAACAAAGGACAGGAATGGGGAGGACTAAAAGAAGACCTAGATATAAAAAAGAGAAGATCCCCCCTTCCACTGATTCCGCCTTTTGGGTCCCCTTCTTCCTCCATGGAGAAGTCTTTCCTGCTGTCCTTTAATAAAGCTTCCACTTTCCACTCTCCTCTTGCCTCGGCGTGCTTCTCTGGTGTTAGACTCCAGCATTCAGGGAAGCAAGGACTGGTCACCGGTAAACAGCTTAACAAAGCTTTCTGAGCCAGCTTTCTGAGCCAGCTTTCTGAGCTCAGATGATGATATCATCAGCTTTCTGAGCTCAGATGATGGTATGTATCATCACTGTCTGGCAGACACGGGGAGAATTCATTCTCTGACCTAGCCACCAGGGTGCAGTATGGAGAAAAGTTGCCCATACATTCTTCCAGTACAGAATAAAGCAATTTGGTTACCACTGTTTACCTGTCAGGCTTCGTGTGCATTAAATAAGCTCTAGGGGGGGGGAAAAAAAAAAAAGTCAATACCCACTTAAAGTATCATTTATAATGGTAAGTAGTAATACTTCTCAATTTAACATATAAGTGAAATTTTAAAAGCCTATTTTTTATTTGGAAACTGCCTGAAATATACAGAAAATGATGCCACTTTAATGATCTGTGGATTCCTTCAAATGTTTTCTAAATTTCACCCATCCTAAAACCCACAGAATTTAAACCAAATTTTCTAAGAGAAACTGTAAATAGTTGGGTAAATTTAGCTGTTGTCTACAACAATTTGAAAGGCTTAAGAAATGGTTTGTCAAGCAGATTTTTTTTTTTTTTTTTTTGTACCAGGAATTGAACCCACGAGGCTTAAACACTGAGCAATATCCTCAGCTTTTTATTGTTTGAGACTATGTTGCTTTGGGTCTAAGTTGTAGAGTCTGGCTTCAAACTTGCGATCTTCCTGTCTCAGCATCTGGAGTTGCTGGGGTTACAGATATGTGCTGCTATGCTCGACTTCAGGCAAATTCTTAATGCAGCATTTCCTCTACTTTAAAAAATGTCTATCCCTGTTATTAATAAACTTCAAATTGGAAAGAGATTATTTTAGCTTGTCTCAGAAAAAAATTTCTTTCTGGAAAGCAAATTCTCTTAAATTTCTATCCAAGAAAGTTCCTTTAAAATAAGTCTCATTTTAAAGGGCTGAGGTTGTGGCTCAGTGGTAGAGAGCTAGCCTAGCAAGTACAGGGCACTGGGTTCGATCTGCAACAATGCATAAAAATAAATACAATAAAGTATTGTATAGAACAACAACAACAAAAGTCTCATTTTAAAAAGATTTACTTCAGGGCTAGAGTTGTGGCTCAGCAGTAAAGTGCTTGCCTAGCATGTGCGAGGCCGGGGGTTCCATCCTCAGCACTACATTAAAATAAATAAATAAAGGTATTGTGTCCAACTACAACTAAAAAATAAATATTAAAAAAAAAAAAAAAGATTTACTTCAATCCCCAGCACTGCAGAAAGGATTTTGTAATTAGCTACGCACGGTGGCACATGCCTATGATCCTGGCTACTTGGGAGGCCAAAGCAGGAAGTCTGCAAGTTCAAGGCCAGTCTAGGCAACTTAGACCCTGTCTTCAGATAAAAAAGGAATGGGGATATAGCTCAGAGGTAGAGTACTGGCCTAGCATGTGTTGGGCTCTTTCAATCCCCAGAACTGGGGGAAAATTATAATAAAATCAATTCCAGTTTCCATCTGTTCATGCAAATCTCAAATAATAAACCTGCTCTTAATAAGTTGCAGCCTATCTCCAGTTTAACATAGTGGTATATTTTACATTTATTTCAATTATTACTATTGTGAACATTAACATATCAACCCATTTCAAACAAAGCTGGCCATGCTTCACTCAGTCCTGCACTAGTTTCTGGCTAGACATTTCTCTTTCTGCAAGTTTCTAAGGAAGCACAGGTTCACCTTCTGTTTTAATCCTGCCACGGGGTTTTGAACACTAAATTCTATACTTTCTGAATGTTTCACAGTAGATGTTCCAGAAGAAAATAATTAATAATGACTATAATTAATATTCCAAATTATATTCTGAAATGACCACTTTCTGTGCTCAAAACTATCAACTAGAAAATTTCAACAAAAAACCCCACTAATCAGGAAAGCCACTGACAGAGATACTAAAGTTTATCAGTGGAAACAGTGATTTAAAACATACTTTTTGTGGAAATGTACATTTTGGTTATTCTGATATGAAACTAATACTATCAAGGAATTAAAAGACACTAAGATACATGAAGTTTTGTGTTAGGTCCGGCAGACAGTAATTGCCTCAATTTAGACATTGTTAAACCTATGAAATTTCAAGGTTCTAGAGTTTGTTCTTGAAAACACATTATTTCAAACTCCAATAATGTAGATTTATTTTTATTCAGAAATTCATATTTGCTACCTGCAATTAAAAGTTTAAAATTACATGGCTCTTAGAAGCGATGTCAAACGTGATGTAAGAGTGACAGACTTAAACAATAAAATTTTGCCCTCTTAAGAAATTTATTTATCAAATTATGACAGAAACACAAATGTATCATATATTACTTTTTAATTAGATCTTTGTTTTACAATATGTTGTTCTTGTCAATGGGATACTTCAAAAATGTAAGCCTGACAGGGAAAGCATTTTTTAAAAATGTACCATTGGAAGGAAAAAAATTGTCATCTTTTATATGATATGGAGATGGGAGATGGAACGTAATCATCTGGGAAGCTCTTTCTGAATATTTTCTTTTCAGTCTATTATTCTTTAACTACAACTTTTAAAACAATTTGAGATTTAGAACTGATCTCTCGTTCCTAAGAAAGAAGTGTGTCCACTTTCAACATCCACTGTCATTAGTACCCTCTGAATGCCCCCCGTAGGTGGCTGTTTCTGGATAAATCAGACTGGTGCACACTCATGTAGGAAGTCCTGTCTCATGGCTGATGAAACACAGTGTTCACAACAGTAAAACACTTCAGGAGGGAGATGGGATTCAGAACAATGCCCAAAATATTGTAATTAGGGGAAATAACCCTGGATTTAACATTTTAGATCTCTCCATTATGAGGAATTAGCCTCAGGGAAAAGGAGAGGACTCTAAATGTACCGATTTGCCCTCACCTACTCAACAGCAGCTGAATAAGGCCACTTCAGCCAGAACCCAGGTCAGTACTCTCCTCTTCAGCTCAGCCTGGCTGTCCAGTGGGAAGTGTTGAAATGGGAAGGGCAGGGGCACTAAGTACCTAACACTGACCGCAGGACTAAAGTGAGGAGATTAAGGAGCTACAATTCAAGTACCTTCTGAACACTGCAGCAATTTCTGGTGGCCCCACAAGACTATGGTTTTGGGAGAAGAGGTAAAATTATTAATAATAATTCCCTACTTTAAACCAACAGAAAGCCTCTTAAGGTCTTCTTTTAATGATAATATAAATCTGAATTATTTGTGGGGAAAAAAAATACAGATTTAGGTAGGACAACTCCAAGGAAATAGTAAGCCATTGAGAGTGACAGGCCTTGACTTCACTAGGGACAGTATGGGATGGGTGCCCACCCTCACCAGTTTCAGTCTGAATATAGATAATACTGCATTTTTGTACCATCACATGCCACTTACTCTTGTCCTAGTCACCCTACATACTCTTAATCCTTCCCTTAGGAACACTTTTTGAAACAATGTCCATTGTTACTGTTTCAAATATCAACCAACACATATATTAAAACTCGGATTTTATCTTTAACATAAAAGTGCTTAAAACCATCCTATGCAACTGTTTTTCACTTCATATTTTTTACCCATAAAATCAAACTCATTTAGGTTTATGAATAATACTGAAAAATTAGTTAATCTGATTCACTTACATTTAAAATAATATGCCTTCATTCCAACTTTCCTTTACATTAACTGACTCACTGCACAGTATCTTCATGAGTTGAGCTCATTTGGAAAATATAGAAGGTACAAATATATAGAACTTTTACGATAAAAAATTTTTGAATATAAAAATGCTTTCTATGTTTCAAAATAACACTTATAGATTTTCTTTAGAGTTTTGGGCTTAGTGTCCAACCCATTAAGTACCCAAGGTTTTGTTGTTATTGTTTTAAATAACAAAGGTAGTAATATGGTTTTAAATACAAAGTCATACAAGAACCACTCAAGTCTGTGGATCATCCCCACAGAAAGTTCAGTTTCTTGCTAAGAAAACTCCTAAATATTTTAGTCACTATGTAAAATTCCATTATCAAAAACTAGTTTAAGATACAAATCTACAAGATAGAAATCTATGCGCCTTAATGATTGCCAGAATTGCCCAGCATAGCTTCAGTAAAATAGAGAATTGTTTAAAAAATACAATCTCCAAAATGTGTGCAAGTACTGCAAACTGGACAGACCAGGCCACACCCTCAACACCGAGTCCTTGTTCTTCTGCACCTCTCCCAGGTCCCAGCCCCTTTGCAGCCTCATGCGCGCCACTATTCATACTGCACCGCCAGTCGTGATGGATCTTGGTGCCGATCAGGTGTCCAGGAGAAAGTATGAGTTAGGCAAGCACTTTGTTTTAGCTGTAAACGCTTTCCATGATGGGTCCCCGTGAGAAGGTCTGGGCGCTTAGATGAGCCTGGAGCTTTTCAGGAACTGAATGAGAACTCTGTACACAAATGTGTACTGGCAGAGGGTCTGCACCAGCATCATTCTCTGTTGCCTCAGCATGTCCAGCACTCTCGGGATGTCCAGGACCTGCGGGAGAGCAGCAGTGAGGAAGAAAACGTACTCCCAGGGGAAACAAAGCACAGGGGAAACTGTTGCCATAACATAAACCTGGTTAGGAGATGGGCAATCTCTCGTCTAGCTTAGCGTCTTCGATCAGTTTCAACTACAAATAAAACATTCATGCAGATTATGTCTCAGACATTCCCTAGGTGTTTCTCACTGATTTTGGTTACACCTAAGTCACTATATTTCACCAGATACCAAGATTCAATAAAACACAGTGTTAAGTGCTATCAGTATCCAGCTCAGCATTTCCCTCAGGGATCAATGACCACTATTAAGTATCCTTGAACATTAACAGGTATTCCAGAAAAACAGAGTTCTGATCTCATATTTAGGGGAAGAAAAATGTGTAAAACAAAGTTAAACAACCGTACTTATTTCTATGATGTTTCAGTCTTTAGTATGCTAAAAGGTACTGAGAATTTTTAAGAAGACAAAGCCTTTTGTAGAGAACACTGAATAACATCTTGTGGTGACCACAGTCCCAGGAAATATGTTCAAACAGAACTGTTAGCTAGGCACCAGGACAAACCTATAATCTCAGCTCCGGCAGGATGATCACAAGTTTGGGGCCAGCCTGGGAACTTAACAAGACCCTGCTTCAAAATAAAATTGTAAAAAGGTTGGGGAGGTAAATCAGTGGTAGAGTGGATGCTTAGCATGTGGGAGGCCCCGTGTTCAATCCCTAATGCTATAAAGGAGGTGAGGGGGTGTGGGGAGCTATCAGGTCACTACGCCCTTCTCCTTCCCAGCCTTATTCCCAACCCATTCATTATTCTCCCCACCAAAAGAGGTAGGGCTTAACACAAAGTCATCACCTCATTGTGTTCCAGACAAGCAATCATGATCTCTGACAAAATGACGACACCGGTTCTTCCTACCCCAGCACTGCAGTGGACCAGCAGAGGAGGGTTGGGGCTTTTTGGTTCACTTGTACTATTTGTATGACGTCGAACAGACTGGATCTCCTCAAGGTATGCTATAGAGGGAAAAAAATCAATGAAATAGAAAAATACTTGGGGATTATGGCTTATCAGACTACCAATTCAATTTCCCTAAGACTGCAGATAAATATAGCATAAGGTACCATGAATCAATCTCAAGCCTTGGCTGGGACTGTAGAAATAAACAGTCCAACTTCCTCATCCCCAACTGACATACAGAGGACACTCACTAAGAGACAGGTGTGGCATTCCACTCAGCACCGAACTATACTTTAAAAACAGCCCTGGTAACCTCCCTACCAAAAGAAGTCCAAAGCTTATGCGAGGCAATACAAAGTAAACATTTCAGAAACACATCTTCATTTCTGGCCAGAGGACACTGTCCTGAGAACAAGACACTTACACAAAAATCCCTTGAGGTCTTCAGGACAGCCATGCTCAGGCCAGTCTGTATACTGGAGATGCCACACTGTCCTCTCTTGCCCCGTGAGAAGGTGCTTCATCTTCAAGCCTGTGGTGGCATAGCAGCCAGAGTCTGTGCGGAACCGGGTTGTAATCTTAAACCTTCCATAGGTGACAGTGTTGTGCCTGGAACCAAGTCGTGGCCAATATCTAAAGCTCTTCTCCCTTCCACCTTCCTGTTAAAGACACACACAGATAAAGAGTGGCACAAAATACAGCCACAGATGCCCTTCACCCAGACAGCACTAAAACTCGGAACTGCAATCCTACCCTCCTCTTTCCACAAAAAGGTCAGAAAGCCATGTAATTCACATTAACAGCTCTTTGGAGGCTGAGAAAATCAATTAAGAGAAATGAATACTTACCTCTTCTGCTGTCACCATTGCTATAATTGCAATTCCCTGTTCCCATACCATCTGCCAAAAATCCTGACAGGTATTCTGTAATGGCCCCTGTGTGGCAATATAATCCCATTCAATTCCACTGACAGAGACCTGAAAGTAAAAAAGTTTTTTTAAAAAAATTACTCTGTGTGTATATAACATACGTATCTGTGTATGTGTTCATGGTAGTACTAAAAAAGTGAACTGGATCCCCCAGCAGAATAAGGAAAGGCTTATATGTTAATCTTTTTCTAGTCAATACAACTTCCCTTATTGGCACCTTATGTACAGTGAATTCATGTAACATCTATGTGACCTAGGGCAATTTGCTAATTTCTCAATCTGTTCTTACCTAGAAAATAAAAATACTGCCTACCCTCAGAAGGTTGCTGTTCGGACTGAGTCAACATAGATAGTGCCTGGCAAATAATAAGTAAACAGTAAGCAGCTGTTACTGCTGCAATAGTTTAGTTCCTCTTGTAAAAACACTATCAACATCACAGTACTCCAAATTCTCCCTCATTAAGTACTAAATTTGCCAGGCATCATTATACATGCCTATAGTCTCAGCTACTCTTGAGGCTGAGACAGGAGGATCATGATTTCAAGGCCCACCTGGGCAACTCAGAGAAACCCGTCTCAAAAGAATAAATAAAAAGGTCTAGGGATGTAGCTCAGTGGTGTAGTGCCTCTGGGTTCAATTCCTAGTACTGGTTAAAAAATAATAATAATAAGTACACTGGAAAAAGCATTCACAATTAAGCAAAAGCCTAAATTAAACAGGAGATTTCTAGGGAAAAAGCTATCTTCCTACATAAGGTAGTCTCACCTCTAAACTTACATCGTTGAGTACAGTCTAATATAACAGAGTAATAACTGGATTTGTAGTCTGGGAAACTGGGATACATCTCAGCTCCACTGATATATGTATGCATTTTTAAAAAATATTTTTTAGTATAGGTGGACACAATATCTTTATTTTATATTTCTGCGGTGCTGAGGATGGAACCCAGTGCCTCAGGCATGCTAGGTGAGCGCTCTACCTCTGAGCCACAACCCCAGCCCCTGCACTGATATATTTTTTAAATGTTTTTATCTTTTTTAAAAATTTTTTTAAATATTTATTTTATTTCTTAGTTTTAGGTGGACACAATATCTTTATTTTACATTTATGTGGTTCTGAGGATCGAACCCAGTGCCTCATGCATGCTAGGCGAGCATTCCACCACTGAGCCACAACCCCAGCCTATTTTTATCTTATTTACTTATTTTTATGCTGTGCTGAGGATGAACCCAGTGCTTCATAGTGCTAGCAAGCACTCCACCACTGTTCCAACATGACTGATGTTTGTGACAATGGTAACAGTTTTCTAAGCATGCATTAAACATAAAATCCTGGGCAAATTCTGCTGCACCCACACACTCATCTGAGGTTGCCAGTCACAGCCCTGGCTCCACATCCTTTCACTGAGCACCTCTCGGAGGCTAGCATGCAGCTGGGAACAGGATGCAACAGCGGTCAAATGGGGAATCTGTGGGGTAAAGGCATCGCGCTCCTTTTTTTAGAGATGAATCAACTGAGGTCCTGCCAATGGTGAGTGGCAGATCAGGAATCACCCTGAGCTAGCCAATTCTGAAATCCCTAGTCTTTCAACTATTCTTTAGGTTGCTGCTAGAGATCTTTAAAATAAACCTACAGACCCACAACATTGTTCAATTCTTATCCATCCAGTCAGAAACAGGATGAACTATTCCAAAGAAATGCTTGGTTTCTGAGTACATGATAGCCTTGTTAAACACACACACACACACACACACACACACACACAACAACAACAACAATGGTGTGTGTATAGATTCCTCAAAACCATTAAGGGTACCAGCAAGCATACATGTAGCCAGATCTCCAGAAATCCTTAGGTATCAGATTGCTCTCTTTTCAAATATGACTTGCAAACTCAAGAAAATGTGGAAAGAAAATCAACATTTGACCACAGACACTTACTCATTCACTCACTATAAGGAGATTTTTCTTTCCAAAATAAAGATTTGAATCCAGCCAGCATGAACAAGGGTACAATAATGGAGGAGAAAGAACATCTGGCTTATTCAGCCACCTGCTATGAATCATTTTTTCCATTTTAATGCTTATAACATTACCCTAGTTAAATGGCATTATACTATTTCCAGGAAAAAGAGGGCTTCTTTAAAGTGATATTTTAAAAATGATAACAGGGAGACTGCAAAGAGAATAGATGGCACCTTCAGAAGTTTTTTTTTATACAATATGAGATTATATTTATTAGCAGCTTTTTCTCTGTTGTCACAAAGAAAGAGTGCTATGTTGAACAAATAACGAGGACTTGCCCAGTTTCTGTTTCTGTTGATGTAGACCGTGCAACATGGACCTGACCAATATACAGAAGTGAATGTTTTTTGTTAATACCATCAAAAGCCCAGACACATTTGTTACATAAAATCTCACACAAAGTGCCAGGTGTGGTGGCACATGCCTGTAATCCCAGTGACTCGGGACTCTGAGGCAGGAGATCCCAACTGAGGGCCAGTCTGCACAACTTAGTTAGTGAGATCCTACCCCTCTGCCCCTGAGCCCCCCAAAAAAGCTAATGCAGGTGTATGATGAGGTGAAAACTAGCAATTCAGCAGATTCTGTGCAAATTTATGAGCCAGAAAAAGGTCTTCAGATTTAGTAGGACAAAGTTCTAAAGCCAGGCAAATAACGTGTCCCACACCCTGCTACCAACATGAGGGCAGAGTGGTTTCCTACAGGAAGAGAATTAGGCATCACTTTGGCTCTGATAAGCACTTTTTATCTAGAACTGGTATATGGGATTCTCCAGCTGTAACAATGTAATGACATAGTTGTAACAATGGTTCAAAACTGGGGTGTTTTTAGAACACATGAATATAATTCTTAAATATTTAACCCCAAGTTAAATGTGCTGTTTATCACCCTAGATGTTCCTCTCACCTTGATATGTGATGCATTGATGTAACCAGTGTTGTTCTCCTTGGTTGGGACAAGCTCCACTCTTGCATCATCATAGGGAAGGACATCCTGGAATCGATTTCTTTCTGCATTTTCCGGGAGTCGGGCTATTGAGCACTCTCCATCAACTAGTCGTTTTTTAAGAATTCTTTCATATTCTGTGAATACCATTCCCTGTTCTAACCGCTGTTCCAGAATTTTACACTGCAAAATAGAGTATGTGGAATAAAATTAATATATTCACATGTCACAGCTGCATTTTAACTGTACATTTAAAATCTGTTTTCTGCTTCAGATCTAGTATTATCTAATTTTGAAAATTCTACATAAAACCAAACTTGAAATTTTAGCAAGCCATAACAATATGAATTAAAAGAACGAAAGATATACTCTTCTTGGTAACACACACAATGCAAAATGCTGCTTAAAGTTGAAAAATGGCCTAAAGAAATTTGTTGAGCTTGTTTTGAAATCCATGGTCAATTTTGTGCCATGTTAAGAAAAAGAATTCTCCTGGAGAAAATGAATTCCAGAGTAGGACAATCAGTTCCAACATCTGTGAACTATTCTAAGATTTATAAATGACACATAAAAATGCTCAAAGCAGGACGGGTGCAGTGGTGCATGCCTGTAATCCCAGCAGCTCAGGAGGCTGAGTTCAAAGCCAGCCTCAGCAAAAAGCAAGGTGCTAAACAACTCAGTGAGACCCTGCCTCTAAATAAAGTATAAAATATAGGGCTGGGGATGTGGCTCAGTAGTCAAGTGCCCCCAAGTTCAATCCATAGTACCCCCACCAAAAAAAAAAAAAAAAAAAAAAAAAAAACCAAAATACTCAAAGCAGTAGTAAATGTTGTCAATGATCTCCAGGATCAGGTTGTAAGGAATTTTCATGCCTGTCTGATTTTTATACCATAAAAATCTCATAAAAAATACCCTAGTCTCACAAAGGAAGTTTTGAAAAATTTAGTAACTATTTACTCTTGAGATAGATTTTCAATATGATGAAAGCAGTCAATGTTTGTTTTCTTTCATAGGTATAATCATATACATTTGTAAAGATCCTCTCACTAAAAGGCCATCAAAAATCAATAACCTGCCCCAAATGGCTTGCAGAAAGTACAGAACAGAAACAAACAACAGGAAACCAACATTCAAGGCTGAGATCAGCTATTAAGACATAAGCTGTACATATGCCCAATTTTGTGGCCTAGATGAGAAAGTTCTTTAACACTCATTTAATGACTATTAAATTATGCTACAAATTTCACTGAAGTCTCACAAAGGCATTTTTGCAGTATTTACCAATTGCCCCAGAGAAGGTACAAAGCCAGGGCATCCTGCATGTACATACCCTTTCATCGTTTGTCGCTCTGGTGGATACTTCCTTTCCTTCATCAGGTAGAGGCAATCGAGACAAGGAGAGTCCATTGAGGGCAGCCAATTTAAGGGGACCAATTTTTTTTGTATCTACTCGAGTCTTTTTCATTCCCTATAAAAAATATTTACATGTATATATGAAATATACACCAATACAGTCCTTTGAAAAGAAATCTCAATGGGCTGAAGGCTGGTGACAAAGGGACTGTGCTCCTCTGCCAAAGGAGGAGAGGTTTCACTCCTTCACAAATCATTTGTTTAATAAACATTAGGAGGAAGACATTCCTTTCAAGGCCAAGGCCCTGATAAGTCTTTCAGATACAAGATTTTGAAACTCAGTTGGTTACAAGGCTCTGTTGCAATGAAAGGTGAGGCTCAAGGCAAGCAGCATTCCTTCATAGAACTCCCAAATTTCAAAAGAAGACACAAAATATCAGCAGCAGTCCACCAGAAAAAAAAAAAAAAAAACTTTAAAAAGGCAATCACCTAATTATAGTAAACCTTCACAATAATATTTTTTAAATGTAAATTTTAAAAATCCTGAAGAGGCCAGGTATGGTGGTGCACACCTGTAATCCCAGTGGCTCAGGGGACTGAGGCAGGAGGATTAAAAATTCAAAGCCAGCCTCAGCAATTTAGCTAGACCAGAAGCAACTAAGTGAGACCCTATCTCAAAAGAAAACATAAAAAGCACTAGGGATGTTGCGCAGTGGTTAAGTGCCCCTGGTACCGAAAAAAAAAAAAAAATCCAGAAAAAAAAATATCATCCTGAAAAACCTGAATGCCTTTTGTGGCAGCTCACTTTATATACTGTCTTCCCACATCCTATTCTACATTCTGTTGCAGAACTGTGTGACCTGGGATGTGTCATCACACTTCCTAAGAAAGGCCACAATGTGAAACAAGGAAAATAAAACTGCTGAAATCTCTATCAGGAAGATAGGGTAAAAGAGAACATCAACAAAATTTCACCTCCAAAACACAGGTATTCCCTACAGTTATTATTAAACCTAATGATTTTCTTTGTGACAGTATATAAACCTAAGAATGCTGTCTCCTTGGATATCCTATACCTCCTTGGAAACCATAATAATTATAAGGAGAGTAGTCCCAATTTGAAAGAAAAGGTTTTCTCTGTTCTGTCTTATAATTGATTTTACTCCAGCTCCATCAGCCTAAAAAAAGACAATAAAACCCCAGGATCATAATAATAGAGCAAGAACAAAGAAAAAGGACATTTTGGTGAGGAGAAAAAAAATGCTGAAAGACTGCTACTATAATTGGAGAATATGATTGGTAGTTATCTTGAAAGGTTAACTAGAATAATTGTTTATTTATTTGTTTGTTTATTTTGGGGTACCAGAGATAAAACCCAGGGGCACTCAACCACTGAGCCACATCTCCAGCTCTTTTTGTTTATTGATACGGGGTCATGCTAAGTTGCTGAGGCTGGCCTTAAACTTGGGATCCTCCTGCCTCAGCCGTGCCCCCCCACCCTTACCCCACCCCCAGTCACTGGGATTACAGGCATGTACCACTATGCCTGGCAACTGAAATAATTTTTAATTTTATAATTCGTATTTGATCATGAGCTTCCCATAGAATGGCATCTGAACTAGGAAGAGGTAGAGTCCTGGGTTAAAGTCCAGGCTCTGACTAATAATATCCTTCAGGAAGTCACCTTTTCCCCTCTAAGCTTCATCAAACAGAAAGATGGATACAGAGAGACACACAGATTAAAAGTCCTGCTTTGGCTAAAGTCTCATGATTCTAATGTGTGCTGAAAACAGTGGTGTGCTGGTAATGTTTAACAACTGGCTCTGGAGGAAAAAGTTCTGATCTGAACTTACCAATTTCTGTAGTATAAATACTCCCATCACTGCCAATTTCAAACTGCCAATGTGATATCAACTAGCTCACAAGATTCCTGAAAACTTCATAGTCAGCTCCTGTTAGCCAGTATATAAGCTGGCTCCAGCACTTCTAGGTTGGATAAAGTTAATTGGCTATAAGGTTAGTTCTAAAGACAGTACTTGAAGAAAGTCAAAACTAGCCTTGAATATCCTTTAATTAGCCCCGAGAGGACAAGTACATGGTTTTAAATGCATGATCTGCACAGTGATTTTTTACATGAGAACCACTGCACAAGACTAAAGGGTGCATCAAAGAGAAGATCTTTATGTAGATGTATAAGTACCCAAACCAGTCTGCCTTTGAGATAATAATCAAGTCCCGGGGAAGGTGGAGGCAGACAGATACAGAATTCTAAAATGGTCCTTCTTGTCTGCAATTTATTTTAGTGCTTTTAATACTAAACCTTTTTAACCTTAATTCACATTAGTCTATTTGATATTTTTTTGTAACAATTATGCAAGATAATGGCAATCCCATGTTACCATGAAGGGGTCAGAGGATTTAGCAAGAGGCTGGCCTCTTCTACTTTTGGGAAATTAGTAGTAAGTTAAAATGTATGATGCAACCTCACAGTAATAAGTTATTACTGACTGGGCACTTTCGATGTGCCAGGACTTCATCTGGGGTCATCATCTACAAATAAGAAAACTGAGTCACAGAGAGAACAAACAGCTTGCCCAAGTTCACACAACTGTGTCTTTGAGGAATCAGTGTCAAAACAATTTTTAAAAATCTCTCACTGAAATTAGTTATGATGAATCATTTAATTCAGAAGGCAATTTTGTATGCCTAACCTCAAATGGGACATTATTCTATGAAGCAAATAGGCAAAGCAGAAAGACTGTCCCTGGGTTATAGATATAGAAGCTGAAGTTTGAGGGTCCAGCCAACCGAACAGAAAACTAACAAATGGCAAACCCTAGACTTAGACCCAAGGCTTAGGATCGGTATTCTTTCCTCTTGACCACAACTGCTATCCACATTCTTTGAGGATGTGAAATCCTTATGCAAGGGTCGCAGGAGGGGTGGTGGGGACAGCCTAAAAGCATAATCCAGTTGCACCATTTTATTAGTATTACAGGTCTTAAAAGTTAATTAGAGAAAATTTGTATTTTAAGAGAACCAAAGACCTCAGATTTAGCTGAAACTGCCAGGCTCCATTTAAAACATAACAAGGATAATCTAGGCTTGACTACTGGGCTATACTCAAAAAACAAATATCATTTGGAGAAAGTACTTGGGTCACACATAAAAAGAGTGATATCTCTTACTGTAATAGAAGAGTCCATCCGGTTGGCTCAGGGGCTCGGGTGAAGCTACCATAGAAACCCCTTATCCCTGCTCTGAGACCAATAGTCAGCCTATACCCTCAACCTCAGCCCTCTTGAGGCACTAGACTTTACATTACAGAAAAAAAAAAAAGGATTGTACCCTCAGGAAAAATTAAAAATAATCTTAAAATTCAAACCCAAACTAATTAAAAGAAAATACATTTAAGGGTTCAATTCTTAGCACCACATAAAAATAAAAATATAAAACACATTTAAACCTGTGGTAGTTTTTAAGTAGTTTCTGTCTATACATAATGATCTATTTCACATAAACACTATAATAGTGTTTGAGTTTTCTCCTCCCATTGAGATGTTTGCAGTATTTTTGAGGCTTTCATACACTAGACTGGAACCATACTTGAGATGGACCCCGGATCTGAGTGTATAGTTTAACCCAGATGAGAGAGGGAGGAGAGTCCCTGCTGCCAAGACCCTGGTGGCAAATGACTTTACGCATCACTTTGGCTTGGTTCAGATACCGGGGATGAGGAGAGCAAGGTGGGCCATGAGGAGCTGGATACCAGAGTAATGCAACAAGATGACTTAGAGTGTACAGACTGAGTCACAAATGCTCAGTCAAAGGTTGAGAACACAAAACATTTCAGTGGACAGACGAATAAGAAAGCTTCAACAAGCAAGTATTATTACTCAGTAAAATATTATATACTGTATACCTCCATGCCAAACAGTATAGAAGAGAGGCTATAGATATAAACATGGGTTTAAAATTCCCATGTTTTAGGGCTGAGGTTGTGGCTCAGTGGCAAAGCACTTGCCTCGCACATGTGAACTGAGTTCGATCCTCAGCACCACATAAAAATAAAATAAAAACAAAATAAATATATTATGTGAATATATAACTAAAAAATATTAAAAAACAAAAATTCCAGGTCACTAGTTGTATGACCTTGGAGAAGCTACTTAATATCTTAGTGTCTATTTCTTTATCTATAAAATGAGTATCACAATAGGCTTGTTGTAAACTACAGGCAGCAAAGATGCAGTGCTCAGCACATTTCTTTGAGAACAGCTGAAAAGGTTAACAAGGCTTCTTTACATTTTGTTACAAATAAAGAAGTGCTTAATCATTTTTATTTCTTATACTGAACAGCAAAGAGCTGCCATTCCCTACAAGGAATATAGGAATTCTCAGTTCACCTAACCTTTCTTTTAAAGACACTTCTGGGGATTTTTGTCTTAACAAACTGCCATTCCCCATTCATGGCCAAGAAATTCAAATTGTATTCACAGACTCTGACCTTCTGATTAAGAATTAGGAGCACAGCCTTGTAGGCTTCTACCAGACATCACTTGAGCAAATGGAAAAGAGAGAGCCTGGGGTGCTGCAGCACTTCACCATATTTTCAGCCGGCAGTTAGCAAATCAAGGTGTGCTAAGGTCATGAAATCTTAACCTCCTTTTCCTTCACACATTACTAAAACATTTCCTTCATTCTTCCATTCCAAAGAGCCTTCTCACTGCATCCAATTTATTATTTCTAGCAAAACCACTAAAACTCAAATCAGTCTCTACTAATTCCACAGATAAACTCAACTATGTTTTAAATAAGACAAAAATAAAGGAACATGGGGTGGGAGGTAGATGTTCAAATAAAAACAGCCAAGAAACATCAGAAGCGGGAGCCACATGGCAGATGTGGAGGGCAGGTGCAGGGCCCCGTTCTCCCTCTGCTCGCAGGCGGCTTACCCCCAGGGGTGGGAGCCCTTGCACAGTGTTCTTCTTCCCCGAAAGCAGATCTGACACCAGCCTCTTCTTCAGAGAGTCCCTCCTGGCTCGGTACCGCCCAGATGTAGTCAGGTCGGACTCGGACATGGAGGGCGTCAGCAGCCCGTCCCTTCGGGGCCGCCGGGCTTCCACAGTTGCGTGGACATGGCCACCTTCCCTCACCCTCTGCTCCGCCTCTACCCCGTGGGGCTTGGGCTCGTGAATATGCAGAGGCCCTGGCAGCGGGGTGCCCGCCGCACAGGGGCAGCCGGGCAGCGGCTCATGGGCGTAGGCTGCAGGCTGCCGGGGCTCAGGTCGGGGCTCAGGCCGCGCCGGGAGGGCCCGCGCCCCATCTTCCTCCAGCTCCTCCTCCTCCTCCTCGCTGCTGTGTATCAGCATGGTGGCATCCGAGAGTGACTTCTTGTGGCCATATCTCCCACTTTCCTGCTCTTCGGGCTCGTCGGTCTTAGTCCGCTCAGCGAAGACGCCGGGCTGGGGGCCCGTGGCAAGGGTGCGCGGCGCCACGTCTGCGGCCGAGGCCGACATGGTCCTCTCCTTGAGCCGCAGTCCCTCCAGGCCGTGCGTGAGCCCCGCGATCTCGATGCTGTTCCTCTTCTGCAGCTGGGCATGCCGGGCAGCCGTCAGGGGCTCGCTGACCTCCTGCAGGGAATGGGCCACGGGCAAGCTGTCCTCCTGGAACGTCTGCACCGAGTGGTGGACCCGCCTGGTGATGAGATCCGGGTTGCTACTGCTTATGTAGAGGTGGCGCGACAGGTCTGGGGTGCTGTTGGCCGGCCTCGGGTACGGGTAGGGCGGCGGCGGGCGGTACACCTGGGTTTTCATGATGTTGGCAGCCGGGTAGTCCTGCGCCTGGAGCTGCACGTTGGTCAGCTCGGGCACGCTGACAGCGCCCACCACGGGCCGCCTCTCGGCAGGGTAGGGGTAGGGAGACTGGCTGTGGAAACTGTAGTTCAAATTGAATGGGTAGTGGGCCGACTGGGGAGAGGCGAAGTGCGCGTGCTCCCGAATTTCAGGCTGGCTGTAGACCAGGGCATCCGGCCTGCTGTATGCATAGGAATTGCCGATGTTGAGGTTTCTCAGCGAGTGGCTCTGCCTTTCGGCATGCACCAGGCCTCTGTTGAGCTGCTTCATCACAGTCTCGTAGTCTGGGGTCGGGCGGTAAGACGGGGGTATCAGGGCACTGTGCCGATGAGTGGGGATGTAGTCGGGTCTCATGACATCACTTCCACTAATACTCGGGTTGGAGGACATAGGAGAGGGCTGCAAGTACGCTTGAGGGTTATTTAAGGAATTGGTGCTATGTGCGCTGTAGACACTACCATTACGGATTCGACCATTGAGGTCAATTTGGGCTCTATCCAAACTTGTCTGGGAGTGACAATAATATCCATTCTGGTTGGGCACAAAGAGGTTATCTGGAAAAAAAAAAAGTTTAAAATGTACTTTAAGGATTTTTTAAAATTTATTAAACTGATTTCACCAGCCAAAATATTGAGAGTGTCCCTCAATTTGGATTTTCAGTGCAGCCTATAAAAATCTTTGATAAAATAATATGGGGCAACCAGGCATGGTGGTATACACCTGTTATCCCAGCTACTCAGAAGACTGAGGCAGGAGGATTGCAAATTTGAGGCCAACTGAGCAATTTAGCCCACCTCAAAAAAATAAAAAGGGACTGGGAATGTAGCTTAATGGTAGAGTGCCCCGGGTTCAATCCCCAGTACAGCAAAATAAACAAATATATAAATAAATGTAATGACCTGGGGCTTCTCTTGTACTATGAGTGGCCCTGGGAGCTTTGGCTTCCTCATCTATAAGATTGGGGTGGCTCTACTTAAAGGTTCAAAATATGAAACCAAATAAAGATTAGCCTAATCTAAGTCCAATGTTAAGATTGTGGTTGGGGTTGTAGCTCACTGGTAGAGCACTTTCCTAGCATATGTGAGGCACTGGGTTCTATCCTCAGCACCACATAAAAATAAATAAATAAAATAAAGGTATTGTGTCCAACAACAACTAAAATTAATTAATTAATTAATAATTTTTAAAAAGAGTATGACCGTATAACAAAACAATCTTTTTTTCTGAATGTTGAAACCATGTAATTCACTGTAGATCCAAAACGCTCTTTCTGGAAGTCCATAGAACTCAAGGCACAGATACTTACTGCTCAAGGTTCAGAACCACTAATTCTGCTGTCTCCACAGTAAGGGATGTGGCCGCGCTAGTTCAAGCACCAACTGTCTGTAAATATTTCCTTAACTGGAATTTCAGATTGCCTGCATAAGTTCTTTCAGAATGAAGATAAAATTTCCACCATAAAAGGACAACAGTGTAGCAGGATATCCTTTCTCTAGTCCAACAGTGTCACCAGCGGCTGCACACCCCACTAGAGCCCAGAAGCCATGAAGAACCATACTAAGACAGCTGCAGCTGCCCCGTCTTGGTCCCCACCTTTCAGTAAGATGTGGATCCAGGGATCATGGAATCAGGAGACTCATCTCACAATGCTATGTGTATGTGTCCCAAGCTGAAAGAGGCCATGTTCTTTGCAGCCAATCTGTAGCTCACCTGAATCACTTTACTAACTGCATTTCAGTTTCCTTTGGAAAGCATTCTTTGTGTGCTCCAACAGCTCCAATTGATTATCCAAGTGACTCACCAGTCTGGTAGGTGCATTTTATTCTGGTGGCATACCCAACCCCAAAGAAACAGCACACTAATTCCCACTTTATTCTTCCTGATGTCACTGTGAAAACTTCCTCACTGCTATGCTTTCCCTATCCCTAGAACACTCAGCCATTAAGTCTCTGAGTCCCTCTTTTCTCAGTCTCCACCTTGTCTCCACAGTATACGTGCCCAGCAGGTGTCCCTGCTTCTAGGTTCCTCTCAAATCATCAGATCATTTGTGAGCCTGTAACAGACTGTACTCAGAGCAGAAGGGGGGAAAAGATGACTGGAATTTAGGACGGTCAGAGGTGAAGGTGGGTATAATAATCCCTGTAATTAAAGTAAGGAAAGATAAAAGTGGCAAGAGTCTGGAGGAGGGAAGAATCACTTCCAGCTTGAGCTAAGTGATGGAGACATGGAAGAGATATTCAAAAACAACTCTGCAGAAGATACTGCAATCAAAGGGTCTTGTGGGAGGGGCAGACATGTCCCATTTCCATCCAGAGCTTGGTCTGCAACTCTGAGAACACACACAATTATGCCTCCTCCTACTTGATGTCAGGCACAGCCCTGTGACTAGTAACAGTCAAGGAAAAGTGGACAGTTAAGAGCCAGCTTCTACGGTCTCTTCCCCTGCTAAATGAGCCACAGCATTCCAGATGGAAGAGCTCCCCCAGCCCACCACTCCCCTAAGTCAGGCTTAAGTGAGTAGAGTCCTGCCAGGGCACAATGAACAGGTAACATGAGAAAGAAGTAAAGCCAGAGAGTTTAGAATGGTCTGTTAACACAGAATAAACTATACTATTCTGGTTGGATGGCAGGCTGTGGACAGAAGGGTACAGTAGAATGGGCATTCTGGGTGACAACAGAGAAGCATGATTGAAGTTGAGGACCACTCCTAAAGGGGCATGCTAGATAAGAGCAAACTAACAGTGGGAAACCAGACTGGAAAAGCAGGCTAAGGGAATATTGTGGAGAGCATGGAACACTAGGCAAAGGAATATTCTTGCATACCAGGGAGATGAGCTGGCAGCTGTGTGTCAGATGAACCAGGGAGAGTGGAAATTGAAGATACCAGTTCACATGATACAACATTAGTTACCTAATGAGAGGTAAGAAAACAAAAAAGCCTGCATCAGCTCAGGAACAGGAAGACCCATGAAGTTCAGGCAATAGGATTTGTAACTGACTAGAAGTGGAGTACCAAAAACAAAAAAGAAAAAAGAAAACAAAAATTTCCTGCAGCTCAGAATCCATAACCAGGAGAATGACTTCATCACAAAAATGAAGTAAGGAACACAGGAAAGGAAGCCGCTTACAGAGTAGAATGACAATCCAAATTTAATGTTTTAATTTTCAGCAAGTCACAGGAGCTGACACCATTCATGGAGTGCTCCACCTAAGCCAACCTCTTCATATGCAGCAACCCACAGCAACCTGTCAGATGGTAGGAAGTGTGGGGCTGCAGCACCGGGAGTGCTGATGGGGTGGAAAATGAAGATCTGACAGTGGCCCCTGCAGGGATATGAAATGTGGACGACACTGCTGTAGACATTCCCAAAGGGAGGGAAGGAGGCACACACAGGCTTTGAGGGAACAACAATTCATACTGACAGAAAGGAGGAGGGCAGCTCAATGGGAAAAGTGATGCTTGACTCCGATGGTGTGGAGGACCTGGGGATGATGGGGCCCTTGGAGAGGCAGCTTCAGTACAGCAGCAAAGGCAGAAGGAAAGGTTACCCAACAAGCAGATGCAGCACATAGCAATCACTCAGAAGGACAGGGTGAAAAAAGGAAAGAAAAAATAACCTAAAACCATCATCTGAAGAGAGAATAAAGAAAAAATAACCTAAAACGATCGTCTGGAGAAAGAGAAAAAAAAAAATCAGGGCACTCACAGACCAAGGTAGCGGAGGAGACTGACAACGCAGAAAAGGGCCTTGGTGGGAGGGGGTACACACAAGAAAAGACGGGCAGGTGCAAGGAGAACAGTGAAGAAATACAAAACCACCCAGAGGTGGACACCCAGGATCCACACCCGAGCACATCTCCCCAACTGCCTGCCTTACTGCATGGAAATGCTCATCTTACATGTAAGACCTGGCAGAAAGAGTACGGTCACAATCTGCCCTCGTCCCTTCACACTTCATTCCCTCCTGGCTCCTGATGGGATGGGGCAACTGGACAACTCTACTTGCCAAACACCCCTTTGTCATTCTGTGCCAAGGCATTCACCATCCACCAAAACCAGAGTTGCAGTCAGTCAAGGACCTGCCTCCCTAACTGTTGAAATGCAGCCATCTCTTGAGAACCAGAAAGCTGTTCTCAATGTTCCCAAAACAATGAATCTGCATTCCATCAAAAGGCACAGTAACTGTATGCTCTCTCACAGCACAGCGATGGAATTTTCTTTATATTCAAGTTGTAACTACATTTGTCTCATTCCCTACAATTAGATTCTAAGAGAGAGACTCATCTGCACCAACTCCCTTGGCTTTTAGTACAGACTTATACACAGAGTATGGAATAAACATTGAATAAGTACTCAAGATTCAGTGTTGGGGCACTGTTGTAAATATAGCTTCCGGACTGGAGTTAAGGCTTAGTGGTAGAGCGCTTGACTAACACGTGCAAGGCCCTGGGTTCATTCCTCGGCACCACATAAAAACAAATAAAATAAAGGTATTGTGTCTAACTACAACTAACAAATAAATATTAAAAAATAAATATAGCTTCCTATTGTTCCCACATGAAAATTGCTGTAATGAAGTGTTTAAACCTTTATGGTGGGAAGATCTTAGGCAGGGAGGAAACAAAGTAAGCCTGGGACAGCTTTTACCAGAAAGTGAGAGAGCAATGGGGGAGTGTTAAAGGACACTGGAACCAGCTTAAAGAAGTTCCCATTTGGGACCATCTGAGCATCAAAATTTGATACTGCATATTTTCAACATACGTTCAAGAACTTGAATATAATGGCTTGTTCTATAATTACAAACTATATTAATAACAATTTGGGGTGTTACTTCAGCCAAAAACTATCCAGGTTTCAAGACCTCCAAGTCTTCATAGACATTTTCATTGTAATAACAATGTGAGGCTTTGCAGAATTTGTGTACTTTACCTTGGGAAGAAGCATATGGCTCTGTATAATGTCCATTATAATGCAGCTGGGGCGGGGGAGGCATCACATAGGGCTGGGGTTTAGGCTGAGAAATGAAAAGTTGGACACAGGGTTAAAACACATTGCCTATGTAATAGAGATAACATAATTCTCTGCTGAATTCTTCCCCTCCATTAAAAAAAAACTGCATTAGGGGTTAAATATATTACATATGGAATATAAACATGAAGACACAGGTCTTTCTGTACCTATTATTTCCATGTTCCCCACATGGCAATGCCAAACCTTTTATACTGATACCAAGGACATTAGATAGCACAAGAGAATTTGCATCCAAAAAGTTAAAGATGGGCCAGATGTGTTTGCACATGCCTGTAATCTTGCTCAGCAACTTAGGAGGCTGAGGCAGAGGACCACAAGTTGAAGGCCAGCTTCAGCAATTTAGTGAGCACCTTGGCAAGACCTGTCTCAAAATTAAAAGGACTAGAACATAGTCCAGTGGTAAAGCATTCATTTCGATCCCCACTACCAAAAAAAAAACAAAAAAGTAAAAGATGTAAGGAATTAATTTCTTTGAATAAACAGATGAATATAGGATACTTATTATATAGTATAGTCAATCTTATTAGACAAAATCCTCAGGTAATTTAAATATCTTCCAATTTACAATTATTCTTGGCTAATAGTTAAAATTTATAATATTTGATTGGACTTAATATTTAAACATGTTTCATATAATAAATATTATGTTGAGTCTATAGAAAAATCATCATTTGAATAAAAATGATCAAATATAATCATACTTTTATGGGTCAAACTCAAAATTAACACTAACAAAAGACATTTTATTAAGGAAAATGACACCACTAAAAGGAAAAAACGATTATATTTTCCTCCTTACCAGAGACAAGCGTGAAGATGACCTCCTCCTGATTGGGTTCACTGTGATAGTCTGAGTTTGCCTATAAAAACAGGTGACTTTAAGAAGAGTGAAAACACTTCCTAAATTCTAACAAAATAAACTAAGACACAGAAAGGTAAAATAAAAAATATTCTAAGGCAAAAACACAAACTAGATCAATCATAGATTAGTTAGAAGAAAAAAATCTTTGCTCTCATTTTGGGAGGTCTCTGCCCTTTCCTGCTGCCCAAAGCCCTCTGAGCATGTTCTGAGGCATCACCACCTGGGCCTCCTTCACTAGCAAACTCATCCCATGGGAAGCAGAATTCAGCACCAGTGTCTCCCGTGGGCTGGGTTTGCACTAGTGCCTCCACTGACAGTCCTGGTAGGGGTGACCATCAACTTTCAGCCCAGAAGCCCAAAGCAATGAAAACTACCTTAATCAATTCTGTTTACCACATATTCCAAACATTAAGGAAAAGATAAGTTTGTAATTTTAGTGACTTGAAAATTTATATTTCTTCTAAGGAAATAAATTAGGGAAAGCAAAGTTCAGTGGGTGTGTGATAAACCCATTTACCTTTCTTTGCAAGAAACTGTTCTGATTTCTTTTTTTTTTTTTTTTTTTGTATTTGGGATTGAACCCAAAGGCACTATACCACTGATCATCATCCCAGCCCTTTTTATTTCTTTTCTTTTTGGTCAGGGGTCAGGGTCAGGGTCTAAGTTGCTGAGGCTGACCTCAAACTTGCAATTCTCCTAACTCAGCCTCCAAAGTAGGTGGGATTACAGGAATGCATCGTTGCAACCAAGTGAATTGGTTTTAAATAGATATATTTTTTTTAATGTAACTGAGTGTATTAAGGAATGCATCGTTGCACCCAGTGAATTGGTTTTAATTAGATATATTTTTTAATGTAACTGACATTTATCTGATAATTTGAGATTTTAAACTATTCACACAGATCCCATTTTTGAATAAACAATCAGGTAAAAAAGGAACAAGAAATAGAAAAGCTAATTTCTAACTATTGTTTTTAAACAGAAGTAGATTTTTATTTTTCCTGTGTGTGTTTAGTTTTATTGCAAATAAGATTTCTAAGAACCTAAATACACTGGATTCTTGGCTTTGTTGATAACTTAAGCAACTGTGCCAAGGAACTTTTAAAAAAAACTTTAGCATCTGTTCCTGGCTCATGGGCTCTTGTGACATATAATTACTGACTACAAAAATATTTTGTGACCTTAAGTTAATGCTCTAAGGACTAATTACTAGAAAAGCCATCATAACAAAGTGAAAATTCAACCCATTTTAATCAGAGAATTTATCATAATGTTAAGCCTCTTGTCTTCTAAATTAACATTATTCTGAGCATTCTAAAATTAGTACCCATTCAAACCCTTTAATATTAAGCTTATTTTGACAAAACTTTTGAGACAAAAAGAAAACTAGTGGATAGTAGGAATTAATATCAGATGACTATAACTGCTTTTACAGGTTGACTTCTGTAATTTCCTTTTTGAATCATTGGAAAGTATTCATGTTGTTGATGGAAAACAGATGTCTTTTTCCAAAGCCTGCTCCATCTTTCTAGTACTCTCCTTAGTGAGGCAGGTCTGCACAAGGCCTCTGGGCTATTTTTAGAATACTCTTTAATTGCATTTAAAAAACACTGCATTTTGTCACTTTGAAATTTACTTTGCCTCTTGTTATCCTTATGACCAGGACTAGGTTTGGGCAGGTTGGGTCCTATGAACTTCATATTCAGTCTATCCAAGACTCGATGTCTAGATGGACTGAACTCTTAAAACACTATAAATTCAAAAATAGGAGAAAGGGTTGCTGGTAGGACCCACTATTGACAAACGGCAACAACATGACATAGTTGGGGCAAAAATAAAACTGTGTTAAACATTAAAAAAAAAAAAATCCAAGGATACAGAGCTTAGGAGCAACTCCACCCATGCTATCTATTTTGGCATCTTGCTGGCAGCACCCAGGGTGGAGGCGAACACTGTCCCCACCACTGCAGCAGACAGTTCTGCTAAACACAAAACAGTCTAGTACAGCTTTTTACCTGCCAAATTGTTTGAGCCAGGCGCCTCACCATCAGTTCTAATAGTTTAACCTCTTTCTCCTTGGCACTGTTCTTCCAAGTTCAGTTCACTCTGAGAACAGCCATCCTCAACTTAGCACATAAAACAGAATGCTGTAACTGCTGGAGTGCTTTCCAAATTTGGGGGAATGGTTTCTATACTCATGGGTGCCCTAAAAACAAGGCAGCTAAAAAAAAAAAACTCTTAGAAGAAATCACTGCAATGTACACACAAGAGAAGACAATTAAAAATGGCTGCCAGGCCAGGTGTGGTAGTGCATGCTTGCAATCCCAGTGACTTCGGAGATGAGGCAGAAGGATCACAGTTTGAGGCCAGGTGGGGCAATGTAGTGAGACCCTCTCTCAAAATAAAAACTAAAAAGGGCTAGGGATGTATCTTAGTGGTAGAGCATCTCTCTGGATTTGATCCCCTGCACAGGCAATATGGGGCCGGGTGAGAAGGGTGGGCAGAGACACAACTGCCCATCAAAGTAAAATAAATGATAATGCTAATCGAAACTGTGCTAAGGAATGTACGTGATTATCTCATGACATCTGAACACCAATGCCATCAGGGAGCCCCAGTTATTATCCTGATTTTACAGATGGGAAACTGATACTTGATTAAGAAAGTCACTCCTGGTCACATGGCATACAAGTGGCAGAACCAGCATTCAGTTGTGCCATTTTTTTCAGCATGGCCTCTGATAATTTTTTTTATCTTATCCCTTTCCCAACTTCAACTAAGTTAGGAAGAGGACATACCATGGTACCACTGGTGCCCAGCACACTGCCTGGCACACAAGGAAACCCTCAAATGTGTATTTAACAAATTAATTAAAAGCTCTTCTCCCTCCCTATTCCAGGGCAAGTTAGAGCAGTATGTCCAAAGTGCTTCAAGAGCACTGGTTTAGCCAGGAACACTCCTGCAATCCCAGTGGCTCTGGAGGTTGAGGCAGGAGATTTGCAAGTGTGAAGTCAGCCTCAGCAACTTAGCAAGGCCCTAAGTAACTTAGTGAGACCCTGTCTCAAAATAATAAATAAAAAGGGCTGGAGATATCCATTTCTCCCAGAATGAATCATAAATACTTGCACAGGAATAGTTCATAGAAATGGGCTTCCATAATCTACTGGCTATATAGAGATTAAAAACAAAATTTGACCAGGTGACGTGACACACACCTATAATCTTGGATCATAATTTCAAGGCCAGCCTAGGGAACTTAGTGACACACTGTCTCAAAATAAAAAAATAAAAAGGGCTGGGGATATGGCTCAGTGATAGAACACCCATGGATTCCCATCCCTGTATGGCAAATAATAATAATAATAATGATAATTATTCTAGATTTCCCTTAAACAGATTAATATACACATATATACAACTAAGGACAACATTAGTGTCATTTTATTCACATTTGTCAATGAACAGCAACATTCCAAAAATATTAGATTTCTAAGACTACACCATTTTCTACATTGCTTTTCCCTCTGAATTACTAGGTGATAGTTTGTCAAAAAAAAAAAATGCTTTTTAAAAAAGGCATTAATTGGGGCTGGGGTTGTGGCTCAGTGGTAGAGTGCTTGCTTAGAATGTGTGAGACACTGGGTTTGATTCTCAGCACCACATATAAAATAAATAAAATAGGGCTGGAGATGTGGCTCAAGTGGTAGCGCGCTCGCCTGGCATGCGTGCGACCCGGGTTCGATCCTCAGCACCACATACCAACAAAGATGTTGTGTCCGCCGAGAACTGAAAAATAAATACTAAAAATTCTCTCTCTCTCTCCCCTCTCTCACTCTCTCTTTAAAAAAATAAAATAAAATAAAATAAATAAAATAAAGGTATTGTGTCCATCTACAACTAAAAAAATTAAAAATTTAAAAATTAAAAAAAAAAGGCCATCAACTGGGGCTGGAATTGGGCTCAGTGGTAGAGCGCTTGCCTAGCATGTGTGAGACACTGGGTTCGATACTCAGCACCACATCTAAATAAATAAATTAAAGATCCATTGACAACTAAAAAAATATTTTTTAAAAAAAGGTATTAACTGCTACTCAGAAGCTAAAGCAGGAAAATCACAGCCCTGGCATCTTAGTGAGATACTATCTCCAAATAAAAACTAAAAAGGGCTGGGAATATAACTCAGTGGTAGAGCACTCCTGAATCAATCCCCAGTAATAATAAAGGAAAAAGAAAAAGAAAAAGGTATTAACTACCAACTACCATGGATGCCTATGATTTACTCAAAATGACTGATTCTCCACTATTTCCCAAATGCAGATTCTGGACTAGTGGCACCCCTGTATCTAACCACCAGAGGGGAACATTTTCATACAGAAATGCACGCAGGACTCCAAAGCTGGCAGTCAGCAGAAAAGACTGTCCAGACCCACAAAGAAATCGAGGTTCCTCCTCCCTGTCAGTACTTACTAAAACCCCATCCCTGAACTAGTGGTAGGGACTCAAATACAAACATGGAGGTGGGGAGAACATGGAAGAGAGGAGGCCTAGAACCTGCCAACTCTCTTTGAACTGTTACTCCTGACCAGTTCTTTCATACCATGTGAAACACAAAGCCCTTCCACAGTCTTTCTTTTTCACAAAATGACCTCTTAAGATTCACCCACTGGGCCAGATGTGGTGGCACATGCCTGTAATCCCAGCAGCAGGGGAGGCCGAGGCAGAAGGATCACAAGTTCAAAGCCAGCCTCAGCAAAAACAAGGTGCTAAGCAACTCGGTGAGACCCCAGTACCAAAAAAAAAGAAAAAGAAAAAGAAAAGTCATCCATGGGAATGGGAAAGACAATAGAATGAATCAGACATAATTTTCCTATATTCATATATGAGTACAGGACCAGTGTAACTCTACATCATGTACAGCCACAAAAATGAGAAGTTATATTCATGTGTGTAGGATATGTCAAAATACATTCTATTGTCATATATAAAACTAAAAAGAACAAATTTTAAAAAATTAAAAAGATTCACCCACTGGCCCCAATTTCTAATAGGCAATAAGAGAAACAGAAAAAGAGTAAAAGGGCTCTTCTCCCTTGGGACTCCCATTATCTCGGGTTTCCATGGTTCACTAAGCCCTCACCTACCAGGCACAGGACATGATGAATAAGGAGACCCTATTCTCATGGAGCACCATAGGCAAAAAAGACAAAAATCAAATCTACAAGAAAACACAGACATGAAATGTGCTAGCCGTCTCTCAGAGGCTGAGAACACAGGCTCTAATCTTGCTACTCCGCATACTAGATTAACAGCAAGGCTAAGACATTTCAAGTCTTCATCCATAAAGAAGCAGCAATAAAAATGTGCCAGACAGGGTGACCATAAGAATTAAAGAAGATACAAGTCCTCCTCATGATGCCTGACCCAGAACAAGCATTTACTGAATTAGTTATGTATTAGTAGAATCATTGTTACAAAAGAAAGAAAAAAAAGGAAACTTTAGTGAGAACTAAGAAAACTAGACACTTGGTAGAGTTCAAAATGCTGCTTTTAAAACTAAATCTTAGAGAATAACTATGAATGTGCCAGATACAGGGAGGAAGGGCATTCCAGAAAAGGACTGGGCTAGGACAGGCCTAAGCACGATTAGGAACCATGGGTTCTGGGAGCCAGAATCAAGGCTGGGCCAGGGAATATAAAACAGAGATGGTGAACCACAGGAGTTGGCACTTAATCCTGTAGCCAGGGAGATGTGGAGAAGAGGAATGTGCTCAGATTTGGCCCTGACCTGTAACTTTAAGAGCCGCTGTGCTACATCTTTTGCTTATCCATTCAGAAGACTGAATGGAAACAAGTGACACAGGCAGGGAGGCCAGATGGGAGGCAGCTGCATAGTCCAGAAGAGAGAGGATAGCTTAAAGAATAGTTGTGGGGCCAGGTGCGGTGGTGTAAGCCTGTAATCCCAGTGACTCTGGAGGCTGAAGCAGGAGAATTGCAAGTTTGAGACCAGCCTCATCAATTTAGTGAGGACCTAAGTGACTTAGCAAGACCCTGTCTCAAAATAAAAACAATTTTAAAAGGGCAGGGGATGTGGCTTAGTGGTTAAGTGCCTCTGGGTTAAATCCCCAGTACTCCCTAATCCTCCAAAATAGAAAAGCTGTACGATTGAGTGAAACCTTTCAAGTCTCCGTTTAGATGTCAGGGTGCTGGGAAGACTCTCCTAACTTCCTAACTTGGGAATTCTGGGTTAGGCGCCTTTCTCCTAACGGATCCTACAGCATCACAGACATACCCAAAAACAGCTCTTAACATCCGTCTCTGTAGATTCACTCAACAAATTCATCAAGGCCTATAATGAGCTGGACATGTGCATGGTGTTGGGAATAGAGTGGTTAAGACAGAGAGTGTCTGTCCCTGTGCATCACTGTGGACCTTACCTGCAATGGGGGATGCAGATAACAAACAAACAAATGAATATGCAAAGTCAGGTGTGTTAAGTGTTATGAAAAAGGATAAAACAGGATAAGGATAAAACAGGAGTAAGGGATAAATAGAGACAGATAATATTGGAGGAGGGTGACACAGGGTAATCAGAGACAGCCTCTGAAGATGATCACATCTGGATGTGATTGTAATGAGGGGAAGGAGGCAAGAGAAGAGATGGGGAAACAAACCTTCCAGGCAGAAAGAAGCAAGTACACCATCCCCAGGGGTGAAACATGCTCACAGCCCAGCAAGGATCCTAGTGTGGATAGAACAGAGTGAGCAAGGAGGAGGGTCAGTAAACAAGGTCAGAGCCAGGCAAAGACCACATCGCGTCCAGCATAGTACACACGGTAAGTTAGATGGAATGCCAATGGAGAGGTTTAGGAAGAGTGAGGGAATCCTAGCTTATTTTCCATAACTCAGATTATTCAGGTTGAGTTATGGAAAATAACCTAGAGGCAGGGGAGGCACAGAAACAGCGAGTCAGAAGCTACTCCAGTGCCCCAGAGGAGAAACAATGGTGGGTGATATAAAGTTGTTAGCAGAGGAGGTGGTACACATGGTCAGATTTCAGATCTGTTTTGAAGGTAGAGCAGCTGGGCTTATTGATGAATGGGATGTGGTATGAAAAGAACTAAGAATCCAGTTTGACTCCTGAGTTTGGAGTCTGAGCAAGTAGTTGTGTTTAGTGTGTTGTCACTTGTCAACATAAGAAACAGGTCTGAGGCAGGAAGCGGACAAGAGATGAAGAGGTCTGGTTTTAAATAGAGCAAACTGATGAGCCTCATGGGTACCCAGAGGGACATGTCAAGTAGGCAGTGGGATGTGGAGGGAAAACGCAGGGAAAAGGCAGGACTTGAGGTAAAATCTGATGCCCGAGACCAGGTGATAAGGCCTAAAGGAGGAGAGAGGAACAGGAGTCTCAGCACTCACCCAGCAGGGCGCTGAGAAGAAACGGCCTGGAGGGAGGAAACCCAGGAGCAGTGCTCAGGGCTGCAGGATGTAGTGGGAGAGAACTCCTGAAATGACCACTGGGTGAAGGTCATCTGACCATGACAAGTATGTCACTAGAGTAGTGGCCCAGGGAGACAGGGTGAAAGGAAGGGGAGAACAAATACGCATAACTCTTTAAAAGAAGTCGCTATAAAGAAAAGCAAGGCACCTGCTGAGACTAGAGGGGAGGGTAGAATGAAGGACACAGGAATATCACGGCATGTTTGTACTCTCATGGGAACATCCAGCAGACAGGGAGACCCACGTGGGCTACTAAAAACATACACCAGGAAGAAGGGGCATAAATTGTGGAAATAGTTTGAAAAGCTGAGTAATCTTTACCTAAAATGCTGACCAGAGCAGTGATTTTTAAGAAAGAATAATATTCCATTTTTTAGCTTCTGAGAATAGAATGGTTCAAATAACTAGTAGAAAGAAATCTCTGAGGAATAACTGACTAATAGAAGTTGGTCCAAAACCAAACTTAGATATAGGAGATATCATTTTAATATACAACATAAATAAAGAGCTTTTAAAAAGTGTAAGAAAAAGCTGTGATTTGATAAAAATTTGCCTTTTTAGGCGACACTATAAGGTTCAAAATTAAAATTCCTAAATTTTATTATTTTCCACAATTTCCACAAGCAGAAGATACTCACAAGTTACATTGGTTTAATCTGTAAAATTTGTGTCGAGCGACACACAGTCTCCATACATATTTTGCTGTTTCCATGTCTTCCTGGCAAACAAAATATACATAAAGTAGCATGAAAGCACACACGACTTGATACTTTTAATGCAGAGTTTGTCTGAAGACAAGACACTTTTGGGTGACAGTATGTTATAGTCACTTTCCACACACTCTGGTTCTTTCATTTTCTAACACTATGCCTATCATATGAATGCTAAAGTAGGATTTAAATGACGCGAAGACAAAAAAAATATCTTTTGTAACAGTGTAAATCTGGTATTAAACCACTTCAAAATGACTTGGAAATTTTAAAACTTATAAAGATATCAACTTTCATTCTTGACAAATATATTAAAAGACTTTTTATAAAAACATTTGATTCAGTGACTAAATATTGCCTTTGTCATGAATGCATAAGTAAATAGCTGTTAAACAACAGATCTGAAGAGCCACTCATTTTTGTATGTGGATTCAGATATTAATTGGTCTTTACATTCTCACTTGCTTAGTCTCAAAGATCGGGAGGATCAGATAGTACTTACTTATTCAAAAACTCATTTACTCAAAAATATTTACCGAGCAACTACTTTTTGCCAAGTGTCATCTTGTAAAATGTTATATTATAAAACTTTATAATGGCTTATAAAATTATGAAATAGTATAATTTTAATACTACCCTCCCCTCCAAACACACAAAAGCCCACAGAGATGCTAACTTATTAACTTTCAGGAGAAGTGTTCCATGCAGAGTGAAGTGTTCCATGTTTACTCACAGTTTGAAACTGGATGGTCTCCTCTTTATTTGCCAGCTCTAATGCAAAAAAGGACTTGTTGTGGGACATGTTAGCAATGTCCTGCCACCTGCAGAACAGAGAAGAGCAATGTGAGTATGTGTATACTAGGAGAAAGAACATATGACCTTTTTTTTTCTTAAAGCTTGATGCGTAACTTAGTATTTGTTAATCATTTTTGAAAGAAAATAAGTATTTTCATCAGCTAGCATGCATTTTCTAATTGAAGTGACAGCAATTATAAATACCTATACACTAAATGAAGGAAAAGACTATTTAAAAGATATACATCAAAAACGGACTTAATGCCACTGAATTATATGCTTCAGATTACTAAAGTGGTAAATTTCATATTCTGTAAAAATTAACTCAATAAAAAATGTAGAGTATATTATCCTCATTTGCCAGATTAGCTTGATGATCAAAGATCCCTATGTTAGCTAGCTGCCAGTGCCTCAACATTTTAAAGGGTGCCCATTACAACGATGCCAGAACAAATATTAACTCGCATTGCTTCTAGAGATACTAAAATTAGTAAGGCACTGCTTCCAAAGAGCTCTTTTAGAAGGTGGGGTGTCAATATATACAACATAAAAGTAAATAAGTCCTGTTAAGTGCTATAGGTAAACAGGATGAAATAAGGTACAAAAGCCGGGAGAACCGCTCTGAAAACCGTCAGGTTGACATTGAGGTGCAAAGAACGAAGGAGTGAACTATTCTGGGTATATTCACTAGGACACAAAATTCTATCTTGCACTTTCTAAATTTTATCATACGTAGCTTTTATATATTATATATTTATATATTGATTTTATTAGATAGCTGGGTACTTTTATAAAAGGGATAAATAGCTCTGGAACAAAATGGGTTTGGGGGTGGGGGTTAGGATACTGGGGATTTGACTCAGAGAAACTCAGCCACTGGGCCACATCCCCAGACCTATTTTGTATTTTATTTACAGACAGGGTCTGAGTTGCTTAGCACCTCACTTTTGCTGAGGCTGGCTTTGAATTCACGATCCTCCTGCCTCAGCCTCCCAAGCCACTGGGATTGCAGGTGTGCACCACCACAATCTGCTGGAATAAAATGTTTTAACCTACTTTATTGACTTCACTATAACAGATTCAATATATGTCCCTTGAACTACTTGAAATAAGTGTTTCAGACTCTGGAGTTTTTCTGTTTTAAGCTACTTTATAAAAACAAAATTTGCATAGACTGACAGTTGAGAATCCCCAATCTGAAAATTCAAAATATAAAATGTTCCAATATCTGGGAAAAGAATTTTTTCCCCCCAGCACTGCAGATGAAACCCACAGCCTGGTCCATACAAGGCAAGCACCACTGAGCTACATCCCCATCCCAAAACCTGAAACTTTCCGAAAATCGTGATGTGCTCAAATAGTTTTGGTAGTTGCATTACAGATGATCAAACCCGTACTGGATTTACTTACATAAAATCTGTTAAAATTAAAAATCAATTTAGTACTGATCTATTGTTTATTAAGCCTAAAAATTATCATCATATTAAATAAGATGGTTGAAAACATTCCTATCCAGTGATGAAGACAACCTGGTAGATGCCTCAAGTTTCTATGAGACCACTTGGGCACCATCAGAGTCCTGCACTTAGGTCCATGTTCCTCTCCCTGTCCCTTAACTCAGCATGCTGGGAAGACTTAATGTAACTGGTTTGAGGAAAAGGTAGAACTGCCAGGGGAGCAGCCCTGTCTAGAGCAGTGCAGCATAGGAGTAGCTGCATCGAGCCAGGTCTGTTCTCTGCAGAGAACGTAAGGCCCAAAGACAGTACAGCAAAGGAACAGAAGGGAGAGTTGTCAGCTTAGGGAAACAATTCTAAAAAGGAAAAACTAGTTCAAGACAAAATAAACTTGAATAACCTGTGTTGGCAGGAATAGTACAGGGATAAGAGGAATAAAGGGAGATACGAAAAAAGGAGCTATTTAAAGTGGAGAGTATCAGTTCTAGTGTTGGTTAGGCCAGTTAATAACTTGACTTTTCTACGCTTCAATTATCCCACATGCAAAGTGATAATAATACCTGTTGCTCAGAGTTGTTACAAAGATTACATGTGAATATTCAGCAAAGCACCTGGCTCATGATAAACTGCACGTGATAAAAGGCAGACACAAAGGAACCAAAAACTGAAGTGGCAGAATCTGTTTCAAGCTACTTTATAGAAATAATATTAACTTAATTTTTCATCAAGATAGACTCTCAGAGTAAAATACTTCTATGAAATAACATTGAACTTTCTAAAATTACAGATTTTAAAGAGTTATAATGTAGGGATTGAACAACATAACTCATTTTACTTTGTTTAAGATATAAATTGGAACACAGAATACCAGGAATTAACCATAATTTCATTCATTACTCAGAAATTGAAAGGGTAAAGTTTCTAAGCTGGAAAGCTTGAATATAAAAGATTAGGTATTATTAAGTTCCTCTGTTACACCCAGATTCCTGAGATAGTTAAGACAACACCGTACTGGCCATTTAGCCTAGGGCCCTGTGCAGTTCGTCACAGGGCCTGGACCAATCAGTTTGAATGTGTAACCCGCTTACGAATGACCAATCAACCCCCGCCCAATCTGTTCCCACCAATGAATGTGCCAATCACGTTTCAGAGTTGTTGTTCAATTTCCCCGCGCCTCATGATGATTTGTTCTGATGTATGCAAAGCCTCCCGCCCTCCCCAAAAAGTGTACTTAACCTCTGTTTGAACCTCTGCTCGGGGCTCTGAGCTGCGCTCCCTTCTTGAGTGGGCACAGAGTCCCAGCGCGCTGGAATGGATCCCCAATAAATCCCCTTTTGCCAATTGCATGGAGTAAGTCTCTTGTGTGGTCTCTCCCTCCGACGTTCCACCGGACCCCCCCCTTACAAAATTACATACCACAGTCAGGTGTGGTGCCACACACCTATAATCCCAGCTGCTTGGGAGGCTGAGGCAGGAGGATCACAAGTTCAAAGCCAGCCTCAGCAACTTATTAAAGCCCTAAGCAACTAGCAAGATACTGTCTCAAAATAAAAAATAGGCAGATCCAACATGGCGACGGACGCGGAGAGATCAAGTCTCTGACCTCTTCAGCTGCGCAGGCATAGGGAGTCGTAAACAATCTATCTGTTTGCTCGGGATCACTAGGCAATGCTGAGCTGACATGGATCTGGGGCGAACAGTCTGGGCCTCTCAGAACACACACTGAGCCCGGATCGGCTGAATTCAAGCTCCCATTCCGTTTGCCTGCTTCCCGCAGACAAACAGCTGCGACTCAGCACTAATCCATCTCACTGAAACAACTGGTCAGCCTTTTCGATCCTACGGAGGTAAATGCCAACCGAGCCTTCACAGGTAGTGGCCACAGGTTTGAAACAGGGCTTGGGAGAGACAGTAAGGACCCACCCGTTGCATTGGTCACCCGGCAAAGGGAAACGAACTGTCGCCATTTGCAAGAGATAAAACCATGGCAGAGAACTGACGTCACCAGAATGCGGCGGAGGAGATAACTTCATGGAAACCTGCGGCGACAGGTGTGTAACCCCCTAGCCTTCCCTCTCCACACAGCGGGGAAACCTTAAGGGCCCCTCCCAGCTCTCCTGTGAGTGCGATAGCCAGACCTAGGGAATCAGACGTGGCGTGAGACCCGCAGCGCAGAACTCCCGGCTACCACTCCCACCAGTGCTGACAACTGAGGTCTCTTGCACCAGCTACCGGGAGCATGGCTACCGGAGGGCAAATAAAATTCGCTGAGGATTCTCAGCCCCAAGCTCTACAAACTTAGGGTCTGAGGGAATGGAAAACAGGGAGAGTGTGCCCAGTCGTTCATGAAAACAGGGCTCCCGGGAGCAGCAGACCTGGTGTGTAGCCAGTATTGTGGTGAGCGTCACCAGTGAGAGGGGCCTGACTAGAGGAAAAGTGGGGAAGTGACTAGACACAAGAGGAGGCCCTAGGCACTCAGGATTGGAGACTCGCCCAGTCTGGGAGGAGGAACTGCTGCACAGTGATTGGTTTCCACGTATTGACAAGAGAAGCTTGGCCTGGTGGGCACAGCTCCACCTACTGGAAGAGAAGTTAATCAAACTCTAAGACAGAATTTATTAGTTTTTTTTTTTTATTTGGGTTTTTTTCATTTTTCTTTCTTGTTTTTTAAATTTTTTTAAAATTTTATTTTTTTCCTTCTAATTTTAATTTTTTATTATTATTATTATTATTATTTTAAAAAAAAATGTTTTTCTTTTTTTTATTTCCTATTTTTTTTCTTCTTGTGTCTTTTCATTTCTTTTGAATTTTCTTATTCCCCCTTCCTTGAATTCTCCCTGCTTACTCTCATTCTCTTTAGTGACTTCTTCCCTTCCCTTCTAATACCTTCCCTCCCAAGCATCAAATAAATTTATAGGAGTAAACAGTAACTCAGCARTCAAACAGAACAAGAAGTAACATGAGCAGCATGAAAAAGCGAGGAAGAAAAGGAGTACAAACAATGCAGGACAGCCTAAATATTCAGGAGGACCTAGAGTCATCAGAAAAATGGTCATATAAAGAACTCAAGGA